TGAGACTGCACAGAGGCACTTAGGGCTCCCCATCCCCATGCACACGGAGGCCCCTAGGCACCATATGGAGGCCCATAATTTTCCCCTGTCTTCATGTGCAGAGAGGCTCCTGGGGCCCACATGGAGGCCCATAGGGTCTCCCACATCCCCATGTGCATGGAGGCCCCTGGGGGCTGCACGGAGGCCTGTCGGGCCCCCCCACCCCCATGCGTCCCCTAAGCTTAAGCCTAACCCTAGCTGTCAGGGAATTGCTGAGGCCCCCAGGCTTAGTGCTGACTCGAGAGCACACGTCCTAGAATCTATCCGAATGTAGTGCTACATTTCCTTTATCATTTCCCTTCTTGCTCCACTCCTCAGGGATCTCTAGCCTGTCTCTGTCTCCTAACGCTAACCCTAAATGTTGGCCAATTGCTGAGGCTCCCGGGCCTAGCGCTGCCTACAGAACGCATGTGCTAGAATCAATCTGAATGTAGTGCTACATTTCCTTTCACATGTCCTTTCTAGCTGTGCTCCCCATGGAGCTCTAGGCTTTCTCCTTCACCTAACTGTAACCCTAACCCCAGATGTCAGCCAAATGGTGAGTCCCCCCCCTCCATTGACTGAATGTAGAGTTGGTTTATGCTTTACAGGCTCCAAACATCATCTAGACACGCATTTAGGATTTGGAAATTCTACTCCTGAAGGAAAAGGGTTTCTCTTCCGTGAGTTAGGAGGCATTTTCCTTGTGGAAGCCCTGTCATCTCTCTGGCACATATGATGCATCTGGCGACTGAATCCATCCACCCCTCCAGCTACCCTGTAAACACCACTTTTCATTGTCGCTCACCCAAGGAACGAGAACAGAGAGATACTGGGGACTAATCAGAAATATCTCATCAAGCTACAAAATGCCACGAGCTCTGTGGCTGCAGGGACTAACAGTTTAACACTGCGCAGTTAGCAACATCACTGCAATTTAGGTCAAAACCAAGACACGTGCAACACCCTGCTGAGAGCACAAGGACAGTCTTTTGTGAGGGCGTTATCGGTGCTGAAATGCATCAAGTTTGCTGTGTCTAACGCTTTGGTCTTGTAGAAGTGCCACCAGATTCTATTGTAATTGCAGTAAGCATTCAGGAGCCCAGTTCTCATTCTCTTCTGAACATTAGGCCCTCCAACTATTTATATTTCCAGCGCAATCATATCAGCATATCAGGGTATTTTGCACTGACATGGACGATTGTTTGCCATACATTATTTATGCAGTGTGGGAACCGTGCTGCCTGGGAGAATGCAATTTTTTGGGGGTCCATCCTGTCTTTTTTTTTTTTTCTTCCCCTGTATGAAAAGATGAAAATACTTCTGTGATGGCACATTCTGTATCCATACGTCCCTGCGACGCAGTGCTTGGACTAGGAGAGCCCCCTCTTTGAGACCAGTTCCGCTCAGCGACCTTCCAGCCCAGCTATGTATCTCCATTAAAGATTGCACAACAATTTTACTTACAGTCCAAAACTTTGGTGCAACATTAATTAATATAGTATGGAGACAAATGCTGCTTTTACTTGTATACTCTCCATTAAAGATTGCACAACAATTTTATTTACAGTCCAAAACTTTGGTGCAAATGGAGACATGCTGATTTTACTTGTATACCGTGTAGCTATACCCCCATGCCCTGTGGGTAAGAATGGTGGTGATGGTGCACCTTACCTAGAAATGAGCGTGTACATAGTTCTGGCTAGGCAAAAGCTGTTAACAGGTGGCAGAGGTGGTTGCTGAGGAGTTTTGGGTGTGTTCAGACAGGTTGCAGCCCAGACCAGCTGTTTGCAGAGCTCTTGCTAAGCTATGAATTAGACAACCAGGTGATGCTGTTTGATTGCACTAGCGTTGTGAAAGTAAAGGAGCACGAACACAACGCTCCTTCACTGGGCGTGTTTCACCTTACCTTTTATCTAAGCATATTATTTTGGATTTCGGATGGGTTTTGCACAGACATCAGGCTGCCCAGCGGAGGGACTGTCCTCCACAACGGCCTGGCAGGGCTAGCCCCAACCCAGCACCGCGCAGGCAGCTGGCTCTCTTTGCCAAGGCATGAGGTGAGGCCTCCGTGCTCCACGGTGAACTCAGGCCAGGTGCCCTGCGTTAAATCAGCGAGCGGAGCAGCCTCCGGCCGCGCACGAGCGCGAATCAAAGGTGCCACATTCCCAGCTCCTGTGCGAGGCGGCTCAAGAGGAAGAGGCTTTTGCGCTCCGCAGCCGCGGGAGGACGCGCAGGTGCCGGCGCCCGTTCCCGGCCCCGCTGCCGCCTCCGCTCCGCTCCGGGCGGCGGCGC